AAACCAAAACTCCGTATTTTTCTAAAGCTTAAAAGAGAAATGGCAATGATGATAAAGATTGTAAACTTTGGATATCTAAAGATATGTTGAAATGAATAGAACAAAGGTCATTAATCCAAAACGATAAAAGAGGCAAAAAATCATTTCAGATAACTTTGAGCTTGGAATTAAATAAACCAGTTACACCAAAAGTAGCAAAACAGGCATAATGAGCGACTCACCGAGAATGGGTTGCTAAATTTAATATTTGCCAACCTGCCTGACAACTCTGTCGTTTTAGTATTTAAAACCTTAAAGTAATTACTATTTAAATGGGAATAAGCCACAATTAAAAGTTAAAGTACGTTTATTGACGTTTCAATTTTAAATAAACGTATTTTAACCTTTAATTGTGGATTATATCCATTTAAATAGTAATTACTTTAAAATGTCATAAGAAAATAGCTTTAGAACAAGATTAATAAACCTTAATTGGATAATAATATCGAATTACAAAACAGATAAAAAATACCCCTATAATAACTCAACATACCACATTGGTAAGCAATTCTACCTCAAGGCTTTTGAAAAAGGCAAATATTCTAGTTCTGTACCATAGCGTTTTACCATCAATTTTTCTCTTTGCCAGTTATTATCTCTGCTGTTTCTAACATCCTTTTTGTCCTCTCTGTGTCAGGTGGTGATTCTGCTGCGTATATCATTATTCGTCTGATGACTGTTGTGTAAATTCTACCTTTGATTTCTTTCCCGGTATTTTTATTTCTTTATATTGTTTCATTTAGGCAACTTGCGGCTCTGTTTGCTCTATTTACTCGATCTTCCACTTCTGTTTCGAGCTTTCCGTAGCTAGATAACTTGATGCCTAGATATTTAAACTTGTTCTATTATCTGATCTTCTAGCTCCAATTTACATTTTGGTAAATTTGTTGAATTAATAGGAATGAGAAAAACACTTCAAACTAGGCAACTAAGAGATGAAAGGGGTGGACTTATAACAGATATAAACAAAAAAATGCAGAGATAGACACAATATATAGCACAACTTTTTGAAGACAAAGAGAGAACAGAAGCACCAAGAAAATTTAAGGATGATACTGGGCCTGACATTATACGAGAAGAAATTGAATATGCAATGAAACAAGCTAAAGGTGGTAAATCTCTCGGGCCTGATGAAGTTCCTATCGAATTACTTAAAATTGTGAATACTGAAGCTATTGATCTTCTTTTGGATCTATTCAATACCATATAGTATATAATACCTAAAGAATGGCTCCAATCAACATTCATACTGCTTCCCAAAAAAGCCAATACAAAGGAGTGCAATGAACATCGCACCATAGCCTTAATGAGTCATGTCTTGAAATTGTTTTTAAAAGTAATTCACAATAGAATACATAAGAAATTAGATGAAGGTATAAGTAATACACAAATGGGATTTAGGAAAGGACTGGGAACACGAGATGCACTGTTTGCATTAAGTGTTCTTTCGCAGAGATGCTTAGATAAGGAAGTATATGCCTGTTTCATTGATTTTGAGTAGGCATTTGACAGAGTGCAGCATAATCGACTTAAAGAAATTTTATTAAATAAAAACATAGACAGTAGAGATATTAGAATCATCTGTAACCTCTATTGGAATCAAACAGCAAAAGTTAAAGTTGAAAACGAACTGACCAAGGATATCCAGATTCGCCGTGGGGTCCGCCAAGGGTGTATTTTATCACCCTTGTTATTCAATTTATACAGTGAAGCCATCTCAGAATTAGCGCTTGCCGAGATCAGTGAGGGCCTTATAATAAACGGTGAGCCAGTTAATAACATAAGATATGCTGACGACACCGTCTTACTGGCAGAAACACTAGAAGAACTGCAACACCTTGCTGAACATCTAAATATATATTGCAACGATTATGGACTAAAAATCAATTTGAAGAAAACCAAGTTTATGGTATTTACAAAAGCACAAAACATCGAAATTAAGCTAGTACTAGATAATACAGAAATTGAACAAATATCTTTGTACAAATACCTTGGAGCATGGATCACAGAAGATACTGATCAGACAAAAGAAATAAGATGTCGCATTAAAATTGCGCGGTCAACTTTTAATAGAATGAGAAAACTTGTTTGTAATCGCGATATCAATATATCGCTCCGGATAAGAATGCTTCGATGTTATATTTTCTCTACCCTTTTGTATGGAGTTGAAGCTTGGACACTTAAAAAATCCAACATTAAAAACCTAGAAGCATTCGAAATGTGGTGTTACCGACGTTTTTTGAAAATATCATGGATAGATCGCAAAACAAACGAACAAGTTCTCGAACAACTAGGAAAACAATGCGAAGTTTTAAATTCCATAAAAATCAGGAAATTTGAATACTTGGGGCACATCATGAGAGGTGAAAAGTACGAACTACTAAGGAATATAATGCAGGGTGAAATCAAAGGTAGAAGAAGCGTAGGAAGACGTAAAATCTCGTGGCTACGCAATCTCCGTGAATGGTTTGGATGCAGTTCAATTGAACTATTCAGGCAAGTAACCAATAAAATTATAATTGCCAGAATGATTTCCAATCTCCGATAGGAGTGGAACTTGAAGAAGAAGAAATTTGTTGTTATAACCATGCATTTTTTTTTGGAGAGATTGACATGTTAAATCTTTTGTCGGTTATATTAAATTGGTGCAGCATACGTGGTAAATCATCTTCATTTTGAGAGAGTAATATTGCGTCGTCTGCATAGCAGATTATTTTAAGTTGTTTTTCTCCCATTTAGTATCAATTTTTATTTCATACTTTTTTTATTATTTCATCCATAATCAAGTTACATATTAGAGGACTTATATCATTGCCAGCTTTATGGTCAGTTAATTCTTCTTCTACTTTTACTTTTATTATGTTGTTTTGGTAGATACTTTCGATCGTGTTGATTATTCCTAAAGGCATCTCTCTTGTATCTTATTAAGTCAGGTAATCTGATTTTAATTTAAACATTATGGTATTAAAACTCAAAATTTATTATATAACTTTCCTTTCTATTTAAATGTGGTAAAAAATGTAAAAAAAAAACAGCTCCAAACATTGCTGTGAAAGAGATCGCGGGAGTGATGAATTGAAGGATGTGAGAGACAGTGTTCATACTTCATACTCTGCACCACACTTCTTCGTGTTCCTCTCAATGCACCACTCCACTTCATACGTGAAATCGCCCGGTATGAGCAATGTTTGGCGCGAAATATTAAAACTAAGATTAAAAAAACGGTTTTTATTGTTTTGTCCAACTTACACATTTTTAAACAATATACTATGTATACACACTATCCATAGAATCAGATTTCCCAACTTGAAGCGGGCTTGAGTTATGAATGTTTTCAAAACATAGTCAATTTTGTCGTTTTTTCGACTTTTCTAGCAAAAAATACAGTTGTAAGGTTTTATAAAAATTATTTTGTTTATTTTTTGATTTTATTGAGTCTCTACAAAAGTTTTGTTATTAGTTGTTATGTTAAACTATTATTAAATGAAGATTTCGCACAAAAAAAAAACCAAAAAAATACAACTTTGTTGTCTAAAATATGTTTTTGTGAGTTTTAAATTGTTCTTCCTATAAAAGTATTTTAAATCGTGTCCTATGTTATTTAAACTAGTTAACCACTTACTTTAAATCAAGTAAATATATAATATACTAACCAAACGTAAGAACCTGGAGAAGATTGACCGGCAAGGTTGGAGGCATAGTTTGGAGAGGATGTAAGAGGAGTTTCGATTTGGGCTAAAGCATCATTGGAATGAGATAAAAAGGGAGGGAGAGAAACAAAGAAAGAGAAATATTATTATCATCATTTGTACTACAGCCCTATAAAAGAGCCTCGACCTTCCCAAGTCTATTACGCCAGTCGGTTCTATCCATTTCCAACTGTTGCCAGTTTGCTGCGTCTATTTTTCTACCATCCTCATCTACACTATCCCTCTATCTGAGTTATGGCCTACTCCTATTTCTACTTCCCACAGGTTGTGACATAGGGATTCTTCTAGGAGAGTTGTGATCTTGCTAGATGTTCTGCCCATCATAGTCTTCCTATTTTTATAAGAGATGCTACGTCTTTACCACCAAATATATGTTTATATCTGTGATATATCTCGTAGTTGTACCTTTTTCTCCAAACACCATTTTCACAGATGCCACGAAATATTCTTCTTAAGATCCTTCGTTCAAATATAAGGACATCTGTCTTGAAAATGGTCCATGTCTCCGATTCATATGTCAACACTTGTTGTATAAGGGTTTTGTATATGTTTATTTTTGTTTTTTTGGCTTAAGTTTCTGCTTCTAATATGTCTAGTCAATCCAAAATAGCATTTGTTTGTTAGGATCATTCTTCGCTTGATTTCTTTCGTCATGACGTTCTCCTTGGTGATCAGGAAGCCTAAGTATGAGAATTTCTCCACCACTTCAAAGGTAGAGTTATCAACCGTGAATTGGTAGCCGATATTCCTGGCTCTATTGTTAGATGTTGATGCCATTATCTTAGTTTTCTCCTCATTTACTTGCAGCGCTATATTTTTTGAGACATTTAACAAGGTGGTATATATTTCTTCTAGCTTGCGTTTTGTACGGGCAACTAGGTCAACATCATCTGCATATGCCAAAATTTGGGATGATTTATTAAAAATGTTTCCTCTGTTGTCTGTTTGGACATTCCTGACCGCCTTCTTTCGAGAGAGAAATATATAGTAGAAAAATATAATAACTGAAAAATAGGTAAACTACAGCGGTAATATCAACAACATTTGGAGTTGAAAAGGAAAAATATATTCACTGAAACTAATTTCAGTTAAAATTATATACTACTATGATTAACATCGACAAATAAATATGTCATAATGCTTATATTTTATAAAAAGAAAGTCTAATTTGTGTGTATTAAAAACAAGATTATTTTTTCAATATTATTTATTAATATAAAACAATAATAAAAATATAAATACAATAATTTTTTAACATCCTTCGCACCAACATTTCAGACTAGCACTGCAATGTCCACCACCGATTCCTTCTTCATGACATACTCTACGACAAGTGTCGTTGTCCCATATTGCGCAAGGGCCTCCATATCTTCCAGAAAGGCAATCGCCAAATGCCAACTCCGTACCGATGGTAAGGATTAAGAAAAAAGCGAAAATTAAATATCCCTTCATTTTTAGAATATAACAATATATTAGATGAGCGAGTATTAAGTTGAAGCAGACAAATGTCTAAATGTTGAATGATAAATAAAAGAAAATGTCGATATTTATATATTATAAAAATAATTAAATATTTTGCAAGAATTACTGATATAATAAAATATAATAAAAATCCCAGATTCACGGTTATTTTTATTTTTAATTATGTATTTATATAATACGTTCATTTAGCCTCCTAGAACGAGTATATAATTTGTTTTACCAAAACGGATAAAATTATACTAATGAGTCCCCAGAATGATACAATTTTGAAAAAGTTTTGATTGTTTACTTAATGTAATATACATAATAATCAATCAGTCTTTTAGAACGTTGTCAAAAAACTTGGTAAATTAAAGGATTGATGATTTTTTATACAGGTTATTTAGATTCGTAAAAGAAAATTATAAATATTGAAGAATATTGCCAAATATTTATTTAAAAATAATAAAATGCTAACAAACCTGCTTTTTCTTTATAAGCCATTCTGCTTGTTCATTGGCGGATTAATAACTCTATGGAAGGTTGTCACTCTATTTTTTGTGTGGTCGTCTATTACTTCTTCTGCCGATTGGAGATTTATCTCTTGCTATTTTGACGACACGGGTCTCCTCCATTCTGCTTATGTGAATACTCCATTCTTTTTTTCATTATTGTGTCATTATTAGTCTTTCACTGGCTTTATAAATTATTAACTACATATCGATGGTAATGTGTCTGTTTTGCCATATATTGTTATTAAGGCATCCTAAGTGTCATAAATTCACTCTCAAGATTGTATGGAAAAATAATAAAAAATAAAATTGAAAAAGAGATGACAGATGTAGAAGAACAGAATGGCTTTCGTGCACATCAGATCCTGCATGGACAGTATATTCTCTCTAAAGCAAGTTATCGAGAAAAGATTAGCCCACAACCTTTCAACTCATATAGTCTTTATAGATCTGACAAAGGCATACGATTGTGTACCACTTTCAATGCTTTTGGTAGCAATGGAAAAACAAGCAATAAGCAAAAAAAATATACAAGCAGTACAACAGCTCTCCAAAAATATGACGGCAAACATTAAAACTGGAAATAGATTAACTAGAGAAATTCCTATTAGTAAGGGCCTAAAGCAAGGCTGCTGCATAGCACCTACACTCTTCAAAATATATCTAAATGAGGAACTCACTGTGAAGAAGAAAGTGTTGCAATATGAGCATCCCAATCGGAGATAATAGATGGTACACGACACACTTCGCTGACGACCAAGCCATTTTAGCTGAAGACGAAGCTACATGCTTAGAAAACTGGAAGATGAGTACACCAAATGGGGCCTCACAATTAATATACAAAAAACTGAGTACTTAGTTGTAGGAGAAAAACCAGAAAGCCTACAAATCGAAATGGGAACTATAAAACCAACAGACAATTTTAAGTACTTGGGACTCCAAATAACATCAAAAGCAGGAAGTAGCGAAGAAATACATTTCAGAATTGGCCAAGCAAGATCAGCCACCAGACAGCTACACGGACTATTATAAAATAAAAAAATAACAAAAGAAAATAAAAGAAGAATTTATAAAACAATAATAGAAAATATTGGACTGTACGGCGCCGAACACTTCGGATTGCTTCGACAGAAAACGCTGGAAATTAGGACGCGAGAAGCGGCGCCAGCTGTAGAAGACTCGCTTGTTAAAGAAAATAGTCTGGCAGGATGCCAATATATATATATATATATATATATATATATATATATATATATTGGCATCCTGCCAGACTATTTTCTTTTTGTACTTGATCTCTTACTTCTTTATCTAGGTCTCCATAGCTAGGGAGTGTAATTCTATTTCTACTACTTATTCAATACTGATGCTATTAATTTTTACGCCATCAACTTTGCCTGCTGTATATTGTCTCTTTAAGTAGTATTTGTTTTTACGATTAGTAGGTTGCTAACCTTGCCAATCACCCTCCACATTTTATCTGGGCTTGGGACCCGAGATCCAAGATCTAATTTTATCCTAGGCTAGCAGAAATCCGGGCCATAAAAGAATGTCCTGGATGAGAAATTTAAGAGAATGGTTTGGCTGTATCACTAACTAATTATTTAAAACAGCATTTAATAAAATTAGAATCGCCATAATGATATACAATCTCAGATAGGGGAGGCATTCAAAGAAGAAGAAGGGACCCGAGACCAGAGAAATAAAACTATCGGGCAAGAAACAAAAGGCAGAATTTACAAAACAGTCATTAGACCAATAACGACATACACGGCAGATAGAAGACCTGGCACAGAGAGGACAAAAAGGATGTTAGAAAGAGCAGAGATGCAAACACTTAGAAAAATTAATGGTAATACACTATGGGACAAAGCTAGAAGTACAAATATACAACATAGATGCAAGGTGGAGAACATCAAACACTGGGTGAGAATTAGAAGAGTAAAATGAAACGATCATTAAGGCCAAATGACAACAAATAGATTAATAAAGACGGTAAAAGACGGTTTCCCAATAGGAAGATGATCAGTAGGAAGACCACGAAAACGATGGAATGAAAACTTACTGGACGCACATTGAAAAACAGACAGAGTCATGTCTATATAAAAAGAAGAAGAACTTCGCCTGCAGTTTTGTTGGGTGAATCGAGTAGTTCGACAGAACTGTTGCCAATTATAAGACCGGATAAAGGAGAAGAGGTCTACAGCCAGGTTAGCACCCTATTAATGGACTTTAAAACCATACAGCTCATAGAAACAGGATTAGGCCTCGGAACGTGATTGATTTTACTAACATACTATACTACCATAATAGACTATTTTACCATTAAAACACATTTGATTTTAACGATTATCGAGTACTTTGCTTATATAAAAAGACATCATCATGATGCAATAGCTTTTAGAGAGCTTCGATTTTCTCAAGCTTTCTGGCCCATTCTGTCCCTTGCTTGGATTCTCCAGTTGACAACACCGACCTGCTTAGCATCTTATGTTACCTTGTCTAACCACCTTTGTTTTCGCATACCCTGTCTTCTCATTTCCAATGGTTGCGCTGTTTAAATATTTTTATCATATTCGATTCCGGGGCCCTACATATCCTGCGTACTAAGACGGCATTGCTTGATTATAGTGGTAATATCTTTCCTACCAAACTTACACTTGTAGATATTCTGCCGTTAAAAGTTATATACTATTGCATATTCCATTTTCACAGAATACCTCAAATATCTTTCAAATATCGATAGAGAGGATTTATATATTTTGGTTAAGGTCCAAGTCTTTGATCCATATACGAGAACGGGCAGTGTTCTGATGACAGTTCTATTTAGTATTATACAAGTTTTTTGGGACATATGTTTATCTGTTAGCTAAAACCTGGACATACTATATTAAAACCTGTTTGCAAGTATGATTAACCTTTTGATTTTCACTGGTGTTTTATTATTGGGATTGAACGATGTTCCTAGATATACGAACTCTTTGACCACTTCGAAGTTTTGGTCAATGAAAATTAGATCTGCGTCAACTTTTTCAGCTCTTGTGTTGGCTTTAGTCGGCATGAATTTGGTTTTATTTTAATTTATATGTAATGCCATTCATTCTGCTGCAGCTACAAGTTATGTTAAGGTTTTTGTGGTTCTCGTCCTTGTTTTTGTTTTAATGTTTACATCGTCAGCATATGCTAGAATTTCGACTAATCTATTAAATTATAGTTCCTCGGCTATCTAAATTAGCACCTTATACGACTTTTTCTAAGGTTTTGTTAAAAAGCTGTTTCGCTTGCTTGTCTGCCTATCCTAACCCCCTATTAATTTTAAATATGGTTGGCGAATTATTCTGAATTTTTACTGCTGACAGCATCTTGGCCATTGTCTCTTTTATTGTTTATTAAATTTTTTGTGTGATTCCTAACTCATTCTTAGCGTTGTAAAGACTTAGTCTTATGACACAGTCATATGCTGCTTTAAAATGGACAAAAAGATTAAACATATTTATACACAGTTATATATACTTAAAATAAGAGATGATAAAGAAGATCCAGAGTTAGAAATTAGAAACACAAAAACATGTAATGAATATAAATATCTCGGATCTATAATATCTAAAGAAGGCACTACCAAAAGACACATCGAAAACAGAACGCAGCAGGAAAAAAAAAGCGGTACACATTCTAAACTCTCTAGTATGGTCTAAAAATATTAAACAAGAAAGGAAATTGATAATCTATCAAACCTTGGTAGAGCCTAATATAACTTATGGGGCAGAAGTGTGGCGATCACGAACGAAGATAGAAAAAAAATAGAAGTAGTAGAAATGGATTTTCTAAGAAGAGAGTGTGGTGTATCCTTATATGCGTAATAATAATACATACTATGTACATTCTACGAACTAAGATACTATTATATGTCAAATTGGAAAGAACAAAGATGATCCAAAAAACTAGGAAAAAGAAATGGATTTCCCCAGAACACAACGATTTGTATGAAGATACACCAACCAGACATACACAATACTTGCAAGACAAAATAGAAAATGTAGATCAGGTTATTGATGGCATAACGCAGACTCTTAAAAAATGGCAAGGGAGTATTGCCCGACCATTGTCTGACCCCTAAAGATAAACTAATTTAAAATACCAAAGTTTGGATAGGTAAAAGAAGACAGCTGACGGAAAAATACGGCTGAAACTACACAACAATGAAGAAATTAAATAAAAATATCTATCGGTCAATTCAAAAAGACGTAAAAGAAAACAATACAATAAAAATAACTAAAATATTTCAAAAAAACAAAAGTTGAAAAATGTTGAGGCGAAATACAAACAACATAGGCAACAAAAATATGTACAAAATAAAAAATGGAAACGTTACTACGGATAAAACCAAAATCCTTGAGGTTTTATCCTCGAATCTTTTTATCGCGAAATGTATAAGAGCAGCGACAAAAGGCAAGATCATAACATAAACAGACATGTGAGCTC